ACAATGTGTTTTAAATAGGTACATTTAAATCTTTATCCGCTATTTCTCCATCCTTAGGGGTGGAATTTTTTTTTAATATTTATATGTGATACCTACAGAATAACCTATTAAATAAAAAAGCATCATTTAAATCGGTTCAGCTATTTTCGAGAAATCGTTGAACATAAATAAAATTCATATAAAGAGTTATTTTTCCAAAAATAGCCAAATTTTAAATCTAAGTTCAAATATATAAATAAATATATACCGTTATTACAGTTTTTTGAAAATACGAGTAAATAAGGCTTCTACTTTTATTTCAAATTATCCACAATTGAATGTGATTTATGGGCAAAAACGTTTTTGTCTACTAATCGACCCTTACGGATGTATGCGTGCGCAGTAAAACCAATCAAGATAATGCATTACCACGCATTTTGAATTTAAAAGATAAAAAGGACAGAATTTTCGAGTTCTTTAATTAATTTTTCTTCACCATTTACCTATATTACTGAACATTCTCTGCAAATTTGGCCTATTATTGCAAAATATACCTGTATACGAATATAGAACTATATCGTTTTTTGAACTCGGTTAAAAATAGTTGAGTTTTCAACCTTAAAACTGTTCTGATAAGCACCAGCTTGGTGCAAACATGATGCTAGCACATCACTAGCCTAAGATCACTGCTACATAGTTGCTGTCAGTGTACGCATGTATGCAGGCATGTCAAAGGATCGCTTGACTCCTAAAAGATTGACCTTAGAAACTCTTTTTCGTGTGGCGGTGGTGTTAGAGAATCCATCGACCAACTCCACTCCCGAGTGACGTAAGAAAGATTGCGACTGTGTAAATATTGAAGAAATGTAATGGTTTCCGATAGAAATTTATTTAATCTAATTCCAGCCGCACAGTTTCACCATCGCACATCGCGACAAAACTCCCGATACCATCTATACCATCTGGATGACTGGCGGTCCACCACTAAGCGATTTAAAAGAAGTTTTCTACCTCGCACAACTTCCTTGTGAAATCAACTACCACCAGAGAATTTTCCGGACCGGTACGACCTAGGGACCTTCAAGAAAAGAGCTTATTCCTTTTTAAAGAGCCGGCAACGCACCTGCAATCCCCCTGGTGTTGCAGCTGTTCATTGGCGTCGGTAATCACTTACCATCAGGTGAGCCGTATGCACGTTTGCCCCCTCTTCTATAAAAAAGTTGGCGCTATAAACATCCCTTTTATATTAGACGTAAAATACCCAAGTTGGTTACGGGCGATGGGATCATCAATCCAGCTGCTATGCGTGACGATTAGGGTGTATACTCTCTATAACAGGAGAGATCTATGTCCAATAGTGGCTATTTACTGGTTCATCATCATCATTACAGCCCTTCATAAGTCCACTGCTGAACATAGGCCTCCCCCAAGGTATGCCACAAAGCACGGTCCTGAGCCACCTGCATCCATCGACTTCCTGCATGTCTTACCAGGTTGTCACTCCATCTAGTGGGGGGTCGCCCTACACTTCGCCTACCGGTACGAGGCTGCCACTCGAGAACACTTCTTCCCTAACGGTTGTCGGTTCTTCGAGCGATATGGCCGGCCCATTGTCACTTCAGCTTACTAATACGTTGGCTATGTCCGTCATTCTGGTTCTACTGCGGATATCCTCATTTCTAAGTTCATCACGCAAAGAAACTCCGAGCATAGCCCTCTCCATAGCTCGCTGAGCGACTTTGAGCGTCTTCATACGGCCAGCAGTGAAGGATCACGTCTCGGTTCCGTAGGTCAACACTGGCAACACGCACTGGTTGTACAACTTAGTTTTCAGGTTTTGAGGTATACCTGACGAGAAGATGCGTCGTAATTTCCCGAACGCTGCCCAGCCGAGTTGAATCGAATTTACTGGTTGTACTGATGTAAATGAAGAATATGTCGCGGTGTACAGACTCTTTTCCATTTCCGAGAGGCTTATAAAGCTTATGAAGGTCAGTACGCCGTGCTGACTCAGTGGTTGGTGGCGGACTTTCCTCGAATTATTTCTTTTCTCATGTATGCTGGTTACACCGTGTAGAAAGTGATCATTCAGCATTTGAAATTGCAACTAGTAATTTCATTAGTGGTAGCGGGTTCGAGTACTGGATATTTGCGTACTACAGCGGACAATTAGTTCCTAAATATCACGGCTTCAATGATAATTAACCAATTAATCTAAAACTATTAGTGTTCGTCATATATTTCATTACACGTGTTAATGAAAATCTATTAAAGTGTACTCCACAAATTTCATTGCACGTTTAAATACGTACAAATAAAAATTGCCTTCGGAAATGTACTTCGCGGTAGATTTACGATCAGATATTAACTTTGGTAGGACGAAATTCTCGCAATGTGTTTTAAACGTGCAAGTCAAACAACTAGATGTGTAACCTATTTACATATATTTGCCTTATTTGACGACATTCAGGGAACTAGCGGGCGGACGTGTGATTGCGTTGTATTTGTTCAGTGCTCAAGCTTCGGCGAATTGTCTGATTTGAGGGGGAAGAAAGGAAAAATGGGTCACTGAATAAAATTATGTGAATCTTTTATAAATTGTTTGTTATTTTCTACAGATACAGTATTATTTTTTATATTATACGTACAACGCGACGAATATAAAAAAAATAAACTAGTAGCACTTCTTTTGTATATGTATAAGTTAATAAAGTTATAAATTTAATCTTTAAAATTATTTCGCCATGACGAAATTTTTCATATGAAATATTACTGATTTATTTCTTTTTTATTCAGATTAGCCTACCCTTATTTGGCGGGCTATAAACACTGACTGGAAGAGAATGCCAAAAGGCATTAAGTCCACTCTTTGTAACCCTTTTAATTAAGGCAATAACAATAAAGCGTAAATTATTAGAACACTATTTTAATGAAAATTTTGTGACTCCGCTTGTATTAGTGCCGTGTAGTGTGGTGTAAGAATATTTACTACCTACCCCATATGGTATGCCCACGATATGGTATGGTATCGTGGGTGTCGTAAGAGGCGTCAGATGGAAACAAATCAAGACATGGGCAGCAGCGTCTTTCAAATATCGACCAAAATAAAAAAAACTGCGCTTGCCAAGCGTGGCATTTATCAAAAATATCCCTTCTATGAGACAATCTATAGGAGAGGCCAATTTTCAGCAGAGGATTTTAATAGGCTGTAACAGTAACGTATGAATTAAGACGAAGAAAGGAGAGAAGGAGGACAGGCTATTGAAATAGCTTCAAGAATACAGCAGCACCAGGTGGTCTAATACGATTTTCTAGTATTATTTCAAATACCCTTTACTAATCCTTAACTACATCTAAGAAAGATCGCTGCGGCTATAAGTTTCAGTTTATTATACATATAAGTATAATACTCTACAATGCGGGAGGTTCAGCTCCAACGGTAGACTTTTGGGAACTGATAAAGTAGAAGTGGTCAATATATTTGATATAAACGCAAATTTTAATGCGGAATGGAAGTTCACTTGGTAGAACTTCTCAGCCCAGGTGAGTCTTTCTGGGTAAGTATCGCTATCTCTATTTCTACAATATGCAGTATCTGAACTTATATAAAGAACTAGTATAATTATAGTCTGTGACGTATTAACATTTACTCCTCGGAGATGACATCGTATTTTACGTACCTACATCTGTACCTTTTTATATTAAGTTAGCTACAGTTTTTCATCGGTTGCAGTATCCACATACCCTCAGATGGACTGTAAGTTAATCTGTCCTTTTAGTTTTACATAAAAAAAGGAATTTAATCATGATCCTCCCGTACTTCAGAGCATTGTCACGTGCCAGAACTGCGATATTTTATGCTTCTATTGTTTGATTTAATTTAAATTAGATAGCTCGATAGATTTTCGCGTTACATTGTTTCTATGTATTTAATAGATCATTACTACTGTAGTTATGACTGAATCGTTGATCTAGTGGTCGTTGCTCAACTACTGATTGTTTGGATTTATGTTCGAATCCTGGGTTGGACCAAAATCAGCACTTGGAGTTTTCTGTCAAATAATTTGGCGGTGTTCAGCGACGTTTATTGAAAAGCCAGTAAAGCTCTTGTTCTGGCAACAAAAGTGTCGGACTATGAAAGTGATAGAACAGAGTGTTTATCTATGTTTGTAGACACATTCGTGCATTCTAATTCTATTTTGCGCAGATGGCTAGTCACCTGGCCGCCGTGAACAAAATTCAGGACAACGTGGTTAGGACCCAATGTTGTGCCGCCAAATATCTGTATACTTGCACTGCTGTGTTCTGATCTAAAAGTGGTTGCGCCAACGCACACCCTTGCATTTTGTATTTTGTTAGTAAAGTTAGCCGGCATAACCTCCCTTCACATCCGTTCCTTCCCACACGGGCATGCCTAATGGGGGAGCTAGATATTGGTGGTCACATCTTGTTCCTCCAATGAGAGTTGCGCTCCGCTTAGGTGAAAGTGGAGACGATAGGAGCGGTAAAAAGGATGTGCGCTGCCACTGCTCGCCCAGGTCGTCCGGAGTCCGAGTCCGATCAGGTACCTCGCCGCAGACGGTCGCCTGCGACTCAACGGTGAAGTGCTAATAATTGGTAGAGTCCATGCGCTCCCAGTGTGTTTACTCCAGAAAGAAGAAAGAAGACAAAGACATTTTACCTGTTCGCGGAAGTGCTTCAGTGCTATTGTGCGCCTTTACGGCCGCCAGGTGCATCGGGCCGCCGGCCCATTGTTCTATTGTGTAGTGCTAGTTAGTGCCCCACGTTCTGCCGATTTCCAGTAAACTGTAAGTAGTTTATTGTACACCCGCTGCCTCAGAGGCACCAATTCTATTGTTTTAAATTCTGTGTTCGCTTGTCGCATTAGGCGACAGCTAGGTACACACCCTAGCGTACCAACGCGCTAGTTGTACAAGTATTCGTTTAGGCACACACCTCCCTCGCCGAAAGGTGGGGGGGGGGGCTAGATACACAAGTGTTTACTTTCATTCACTAACACGATGGCGGCTATCTCAATAGCCAAACTCAACGAATTTTTAAGTCGAGTGTGCCCCGATGTTTGGGCTACGTTCTTAGCTCAACGTAATGTGCCCACCGCTGAACGCCCCGTACTACGGATCGACGACCCTATGTCGCCGAGTACCGGGCCCTCGACCCCTGTTTACGATACCGCGTACCCCGCGCCTTCTGCGCTCTACACTCGCGGCACTCCCTGGTGTTTTCGGACGCCGAATCAGGCTCCGAGATGGAGACAGATAACATCCGACCCAAAAAACCCGATGACGAAGGCTTCACCCTAGTCTCGGGGAAAAAGCGTAAGCGCACCGCCGCGAAAAAGGGAGACGTGCCTCACTCGGCCCCTACGTCGCTTAACGCCACTCCCGCTAAAAAAGTCGCGCCTTCCGCGCGCAACAAGACCGCAAAATAAACCGCGAACCCGACTCCAGCCGTAGTAAGGAAGGAGAAACCGCCGCCTCCAATAATTTTGCAGGATAAATCCCGCTGGAGCAACCTATCCAAGTGGATTGACTCTAAAAAGATCTTCTGCCCCAAAGTCCACAATGGACCGCAGGGCATTCGTATCCACGTCGCTACGACGGACGATTTCCGCGCTTTAACTGCGCATCTAAAAGCTCAAAATCTGAGCTTTCACACATACTCCCTCGCGGAGGACCTTAACCTCCGTGTTGTAGTTCGCAGACTCCCTAAAGATCTCGAAACCGAGCATATCTTAAGCGATCTTAAATCGCAAAACATACCAGTCCGAGAAGTGCACAGGATGCACCACGCGACCGATAAAAAACGATATCTAGATCTTTGCCTAGTAATTTTGGACCTGTCTCCGGAGGGCAAAGAAATATATTATCTCACCCGGATTTGCAACCTCACGGGGATTGCAGTAGAGTCCCCGCGCAATAGGAGCATCGTTGGCCAATGCCACCGATGCCAATTATACGGCCATTCGGTCAGAAATTGTTTCGCCCGGCCTAGGTGCGTTAAGTGCCTAGGCGATCATGGCACACCCGACTGCCCCCGAATGCCCGAGTCGGAGGGCCCTCCAAGCTGTGTTCTGTGCGGCGAAGGGGGACACCCAGCGAGCTATCGCGGGTGTAGCAAAGCGCCGCGTAGAAAGCAGAACGGAGGAGCAATCCGACGCGGGCGAGCGGGCAACTCCAGTAGGTCGCGCCCACGGCAGTCTGCCCCATCAGTCGCACCAACTTCGGTGCCGCAACCCGCGCCTGCTCAGGCTACAACCAAGCCCGCCCCCGTTAAAGGGACTTCCAGGCAAGGCCCAAGCCCTCCGGTGCCTTCAGCACCTAAACCCAACGCATGGGTTAAGCCCCCGGCGATTGTGAGCGCGGCCGCCTCACGGCCAGTGCCTCCTCGCCAGGCCCAGAAGCCCAAACCCGCCCGTCAGACACCATCCAACATCGACACTGACCTTTCGTTAGTGTTCAACTTCGCCAGCAATATTAATGTGGCCGAAGTCACAACCTTAGCCCGCAAACTTCTCGAAGCCAAGTCCGTACAAGATAGGCTCAATGCTATTATTGAGTATATCAATCTTATCCAAGCGATAGGTTCGTTCCAGTGCGCCTAAGCCAATTTTTCTTTTTAATAATTAAAATGGAAATACGACCTATAGGTAGAGCCAAGCCTAGCTCTCTGACTGTCGCGTTCTTTAATGCAAACGGTATCAAGAATCAAAAGGAAGAGATAATGTATTTTTTACGCGACCATGATATCGACATCATGCTAGTGCAAGAGACGTTCTTGAAACCTAGTTTGAGCGATCTCAAAATAGTCAATTATAACTTAGTAAGAAATGATAGGCTGACCGGACCTAAAGGCGGGACCTTGATCTACTACAAAAGGTCCTTGCAATGTGTACCGATAGATACTCCACCGCTTACTAACTTAGAAGCATCGGTCTATAGGATAGCACTTACTGGCCATCCGCCAATAATAGTAGTAATCAGCATACCTGCCTCCCTTAAAAGGATATTAGATACCGACATATCGGCTCTATTAAACCTAGGCCCTTGCGTATTAATCGCGGGAGACCTAAATAGCAAACACGTTAGCTGGAATTCTAACGTTAACAATCCTAACGGAATTATTTTAAGAGACCTCACGGAAAGACTTAACTTCGACGTTATTGCTCCCGAGAGTCCAACACGCTATCCTTTTGCAAATAACCAACATCCGGACGTCCTTGATATAGCACTGCTAAAAGACATCCGACTGACTATTAATTCGATAGAGGCTATTATCGAACTAGTCTCAGACCACAGGCCGGTCGTTTTACAACTGGGCCGGCCGGCAGGTGAGATCCCTCAGACCAAAACTATTGTTGACTGGCGTAAACTTGAAGTCAAACTTAAGTCTACGAACTCCCAGCATTTGGACACTATACCTGACAAGATAGACTCGCTAGAGGAGGCCGATAGGGCGATTAGCGCCCTTTCGACTCACCTCACATCAGCGGTCGAAGAATGCTCCCGTAGGGTTCGTGTGTCGAGCGATCAATACACGAAACTTCCGGCGGGTGTTCGACGGCTGATTAGAGCGAAGAATTCCGCGCTTAAAACTTATGACCGCTACCGTATGGAAGCCAATAAACTTTGGGTACGTTCTCTACAAAACGACATTAAACAACGAGTAGCCGAGTTTAGAAACGATAGCTGGGATAACCTCTTAGAAGGTATCGAACCATCTCAAGACCCCTTCTGGAAATTAAAGAGAGCTCTTAAAGCCGATAAATCCTCACCGATGCTGCCTCTCGTGAGGCCTGACCACCCTGATCTCGCCCTAGACGATCTCGAAAAAGCCGAATGTCTAACCGTCTAGAGTACCAGTGCACGCCATCCACCGTACCAACAGATCCCGCTCTCCTACTAGAGGTAGAAACGGAAGTAGAACGTAGGTCTGCGCTGCCACCAGCGGGCGAACCACTCAATCCTGTGACATTAGATGAAGTCACCGAAACTATCAAAAGCCTTAAAAATAGATCAGCCCCTGGGCCAGACGGCATCAGCAATAAAGTGATCAAATCCCTTTCGGCACCACTTATTTACCTACTTGTAGGAATATTTCACACTTTTCTCATGAACTGGTCCTTCCCGGACATCTGGAAAGAAGCAGACGTAATAGGGATCCCAAAACCGGGTAAACCGCGTAATCGTCCCTCTAGCTACAGACCCATTAGTCTGCTCAACACTTTAGGTAAACTATACGAGCGCATTATTCACAAGCGTCTCCGTTATTACACCGAATATAACAGACTCCTCCCAGACGAGCAGTTTGGCTTTAGAGCCAATCACTCATGCACCCACCAGATTCTTCGCCTAACAGAATACATTCTGTCTGGCTTCAACCGAAACCCGTCAAGAAAAAAGTCTCGAAACACGGGAACCCTCTTCTTCGATGTCGCGAAGGCGTTTGATAAGTTCTGGCACGACGACTTGATTTACAAGCTGTACAAACTAAACGTGCCCGATAGGCTCGTGCACATCATACGAGCCTTCCTTTCGAACCGCACTTTTCGATATCGAGTGGAGGGAACCCGTTCTTCGAAACGCTTCCTCAATGCCGGGGTCCCAACAAGGCTCTGTGCTATCTCCACTCCTCTTCACACTCTTCACGAGTGATATCCCTAAAGACCCTGTGATCAACACCGCACTCTTCGCCGACGATACGGCACTTTATGTCTCATCATCATCATTACAGCCCTTCACAAGTCTACTGCTGAACATAGGCCTCCTCTTCATTATGTCTCAGACTACAACAAAAATAGCCTCTCCTTAAGGCTCCAAAAAGCCACCAATCGCCTAGGTAAATGGTTCCGCCAATGGAGAATTGACGTGATTCCCGAAAAGAGTGTAGTAGTGTACTTTCAACGGAATTCAACAGCAGGTTCCAAACCAAAAACGATTTCTCTATACGACCGCCCAATTCCTTGGAAAAAATCGGCCAAATATCTAGGCGTCACGTTCGACTCCCGCATGAGTTTCGCGACGCACATAAGTATTGTACGCAACAGAGCCAAGTCAATAATTGGCCGTCTACACCCTCTCGTTAACAGCAAGAGTAAGCTGTCACTAAGACACATCCTCCGACTGTATAAAATCTGCGTTAGACCAATTATGTCCTACGCAAGTGTAGCTTTCGCCCACACATATAAGACCCACATTATAAAACGCCAAAGAGTACAAAACTTTTTCATCCGAAAAGCCACCGGTGCCCGGTGGTATCAACGGAACTCTGATTTACATAATGATTGTGAATTACCTGATGAAAGAGTAGAAACCCCTCCTAACCCGCTAGTGACAAACGCAGCTAACTACGTTCCGATAGCAAACGTCGCGGTCTACGGAGATAGGGCCCTATCTCCGTAGACCGCGTAATGTGTTAATAGAACCACCTCAATCGCTCGATCCAGTCGACCCAAATGTCGCAGGCACATCACACAATGACACTACATCCACACTAAATGAAACAAACATTACTAGGATTATTAATGGGGCGCTCGCACTCGCAGACGGGTTCGCGCGCACGACGCGTTCCAGCTCACACCGCGTACATACCGTACACCCGCGTTCCTGGGCGGTTTTCACCGCCCAGACCACCGACCGACACGAGCTGAGCAGTCAGAGACGGGGTCCGCACTCCCCCCCCACTCCCCCCTCGGACTGCGGTTAGATAGCTCAAAAAGCACCTAAAAAGGCGACATGATGATTGGTAACAATACCAAGTCATAAACCATTCATCATCATCCTCACCTCATTGCCTTTCCCTTTTTTAATTAGCTTAGCTTAGCTGAGCCTTGAGTCAGATGAAGCTGTAAGAGTCGTATAGACTAACAGCGCTAACATCCAGAAAATAGAGACTGCTCGCCCAGTGCGGTACAGTTTTCGTCGCCTCCGCAAGGCCGTAGAGAGGCCGATCGCAGCTTCCGCAGGTGAGTGCCCATTCTTTAATTTTGAGCTGGTTTTATTTTATTTTGTTGTTCCTTTTTCCACAAGCAGCTCATCTTCCGTCGTGCCGGCTAACGCATTAAATTAAATCAAGCAAGTGTATTGTCCAAAGACCGCCACGTGCTACGTCCGCTATTTTGTTTTGGTTCATTTTGAACCACGCCAATACAGTTCACCTAATCGTTCGAATCGTTCGTTCGTTGGTCATTCGCGCGACCATACTTGTGGTCCATTCGATCCTGATTTGAACTGGCAACCTACGGCCCAACCCAAAAGGTACATAAGGTCAACTGTTAGTTCGTGATCACTTCAGTTTTATACAATAATTCCATTTAAATTCTAGAGATATTACGATTAGTTTAAAATGTTGAGGTAAAACTATAATATATTTCGCGATTTCTTGCATTCATTAGCTTTGAGAAATGTATTTAAATGTGAATAAAAACCAATCTAAAATGCTGATTTCTTCTTGTCCGCCGTCATTACTCGATTTAAATCGTATGTAAGGGTTTTACAATGAACTCGGTCCTCCCACGTCACGAAAACGTGCGTGACTCGACCTTTTTGTTTTTGAAGACTTTCAAAGAAAAGGACTGTATTGACGTATTTGCTCCCTTCTTATAAACAGACTCATAAAGGCGATTATCGTTTAAAGCTCACATCAAACCGCAATGCGGTAAGTTTATCGGGTATGACAGAAAACTTAATGGCTAAGTTGACGAAAAATTAAGGAAAAAAATTATACTAAACCACGATCAGTACATTACTCCAATTGCTTACATATTTCTTGTAATAGTTATTTAAAAAAGGTTATTTATCTCCAAGTCTTTTTATGTCACAAATTAAAAGTTAATTCTATTCTTAATAATTAATTTAATACATTAATGTTTGCAACACAAACGACTTAATGTTGGTTATAAGGTCACTTTTGTTTTTGGAATCAGTCTAACTAGAGGATAGATTTAGATGTTTGGGCCACAACATGTGTTTACCTTCAAGTTGAGTGTACGCTTAATATGATATAATATAATTAATATGTTAAAACAATCTTGTTCTTGTCCTCATGAACGCATATGCTGTGCCCGCGTAAGTTTTCTTGATTTTGGGGCTTTTAAAGACAAGTAGGAATAGGGATTTGTAAGGCTAACGTGGGATTTTGATCAAACGTTGAATTACTAATAATAAAAAAGTAGGTAACTCTACCTCTAGGCAGTTCTATCACCTAGTGAAAAAGGACAACATTGAATAACGATTATACTTTTGTGACACTACGATATTTAAAATTACTTTTAAAGTCAACGGCCACCCTTTTTTAAATATCTTTAATATTCAGGTTATTTATTAAAAAACGTCAACATCTGTATGTATGATCATTCGTTCGATTATGAATTAAAATGTAGATGCGTTGTCACTCCTGAGTACTAATTTAGAATGCCTTCTTGCCAGTTAAAAAGGTAACCGATTCTCTTTATCCACCATATGAAACACAGTAATATTACGCTGCTGTTTCAGGCTGTAACAAACCATCGTTTTGCTAGCGTGATCTTAGTTTCTCGAGAAGATCTATTCGTGTTTTATCTACAACACGAATAGGTCTTCTCGAGACAGTAATTTGACCGTGTAG